TGCTGCTCTTTTTAGATCTTCATAGAAGGAAATTTGCACATAAGTCATTTCTTTCAGCTACTCGCATTCACGGATGGCAACCGCTTGTTCTGCTATCATCTTCTTCGTTTGCACTATGCCGTGCACATATCTGGCAATTCGCGAACAGTCTACTTATCTCCAGTCAGCAGACTGGATGATTGGGGTGAATTTTTCGACAACCATAAGAGTGTCTAGGTACCAGACATCTGCACTATAGATTGCTTGTATTGTTCCACCATCAGCGTTTGGGATAGCTATGAAAGTCCTCATATCCGCGGAGTTGTCAGGTAAGGTTATACTTGCTTTGCTTATGCACATGTAGTATTCAAATTTGCAGGTGTGGGTACCAACTGGTCCACACTTTTCCACGTTTTTGGACATAAAGATAGTGCGTTCAGCGTAGGATTTCTCATGGTAATCTTAGCGTTTGAGACTGTACTGTATTTCATAGTTGCACTCTATATCGCAAAAGTAAGATCAAAACTTGCTCCAATTTCTAATATGCTTTTGTAATTCCGTTCTCCACTTCTAGGTTTGGCCTGGTGAGCATGGAATTCCATCCAGTTGGTACTTCCCAGTAGAAACTATCATCGAAAAGCCTTCAAGCGAATCTTTGCGCGAATTGGATTCACAAAGTTCTGGCTCCTCGGTAGTTCTCGAGTATGTTATTTGCTTAGTAATTCTCTAATTTTTCGTATTTATTATGGGTCTGATTATTTCTGTTCTTCATTTAAACAAAAACAATGTTTTTGAAGCGAAAGTCCCGAGGGGGCAGAAAACACTGTACGCCTGTGTGAAGTTTCAAAGAAATATATCACGCACGGAGCGCGGGATTTCGCCGTTAACAACCTGACAATGAATTTCTACAAGGTGGGACAACAAATTTCTACGGGGTTAAAAAAAGAAACATGCGACGAATCAGAATAGCGCAGGAAAAAAATTGATCAAGTTCACGACGTTCTGGTGGCACATGTGAGTGTGTTTTTCGAGCATCTGCTCACGGAGGTTACTCTACTTTGCAAGGTGGTAGTTTTGGATGACGCTGTGTAATTCTACTCTCTTGTTGCTCTTCTTCTTTTGCTATTGAGAAAACAAAATTAAAGCAGAGTGATTGGAATATGCGCTAAGCGGTAAGGAGATGTGTCCAAATGACTCCAAACACAATCAAGGTTTTGACTAAGCTCAGATAGCTCTGTGACGGTCTTCGAGTCAAAATTAAGTCCATACAGGACGTTACCATAGCAAAAAACCTTTTGTAACGCCTTGATCATCAATATAGATTCCACGTTTGCTATCAGTACACTGTATAATTGTAAATCATAATTTTACCTCAGTATTAATTACTTTGAAATGTTTCACAAGTCAGAGTCTTAATTGAGCATCTAAAGTAAAATTTTATGGGAGAATTGCTTTCGCCCAACCGCAATTATCTACTGATTTATTATTCAGGGGGAGATTACGGCACTGTTAGGTGAGAATGGAGCAGGAAAATCAACCCTCATCAGAATGATTAGCGGACATATGGCTCCCACAAAAGGGTGAGCTGTTATTGCTGTCATGAACCTTTGCCATGGTATAGCATGTAGTAAGAAGTTAATGAAATAATAACCCTTTGCAACACTACCTTCTTGCAGAAGGATTATTGTCGACGGCAGAGACATATCTGGGTATGAGCGTGTGCGCGTCGGCATTTGCCCCCAACACAATGTGCTATTTCCGTATTTAACCGTGAAAGAACACTTGGAATTCTATGCTGCGCTCAAAAACCCATCTCTATCGAAGGTTTGCCCATCA